AAAGCTATAAATATTAGAATAATATAAAGTAAGATAAGTAGAAACAACTTACCTTCTTTACTGCAGATGGTACCAACACATGTTCACCGGTGCTCATTCCTACACGGAATCCAACTTCATCAAAGTTGTAGATATCACCTGCAGTAATATCTAGTTGATTACACACATCTTTAAATTCATAAAACCATTCTTTAATAGCTGATACTTCATGAGATGCAACCCGTGCTGCTTCAATTGGCCGGGTTTTTATTGTATGGAAGTTGTGTTGTTGTGTCTTAATCCATGTCTGGAACCACCGTTGTGATGGTGGTGCACGTGTTGGAGTTTCTGCTGCACGTAGTTGGCAGATGGCACTGAACACCATAGGCTTAGTTGCACCGTACCCATTTTCGTACGAGCGTTGGATGTATCTTTGTATAGCTGTAACTTGTACATCAGACAGTACTCTGTTCTGGCCTCCGCGTGGCACAGCGGTGCGTTGTGGTGATGCGCGTCGTTGTCGTAGTCGTATAGTCCGGAGCGTACTTGGGTTTACTCTGTACATCCGTGCTACTGTAGCACTCTTCTCTGTTGGGTTTTCATTTAAAAATTCAATGGCATTTAAAAGAGCTTCATTTTTATTTACTTCAACTACCGGCATAGTTGTGGTTGTAGTTGTGCTCGTTGTCGGTCATGTTCATGGTCGGTCGTGTCGCGTCGCGAGTCCGCTCCCGAAGTGTCCCACAATCGCTTTCGCGTCCCAGTTCGCTTTCGCCAACCGCCTCCAGGCGGTGGTTTGAGAACCAACGATTATGCATAAATCCGGGGTCAACATGTCAAAACCATCGTCATAGCTTAATACAACAACAAAACACCTCGAAATTCTGTGTACTACCAGCTTTGTTCCAGAAGTTTCCTGAGGGAACACTGCTTGCTCTCCGAGCCATGAATCGCTCACAGCAAGCCAGCTCAGGCAGAGCGCCTGAGCCGCCTTTACCACCTGCTTCAAACAGTAACGGGGATGCGCTTGTTCAGTCAATGAGACAATTCTCCATCAACACAGCCTCTGCAACAGCACTTCCACCTTCTCCTCGTATCTCGTCACCTCGTAGGAATTCCAGCGTCCCAAAGGCACCATCGACAAATGAGAGGCGCAACCAGAGCCCATTGCGAAGGAGCCCAAGTGCTGCGAGCCTTGACACACGCTCCGCATCACCAACACTGTTGCGCAAAGCCTCAATGAACTCTCTCAAGAATGTGGGGGCTGTTACACCAACGCGACCATTGCCAGCGTCTTCCAGGAGATCGTCATCGGCGCATAGGGCCAATGGCCAGAATCTGTTTGGGAAGTTGCCCCATACGAACTTGGACGACACCCCAGAGGAACCTCCTGTCACTGCAGAGTCAATAGCGACTACATATTTTGCGAAAGAGCTCGCTCTTCATACTTTGAGCGATGAACAGCGACCGGTTGATACTATCGCCATTTTACACGATGCGTGTTACGGGCATAGATACTCGCGCCCACGTACGACACGGGCGGGGCTCAGTACGATTGTCGAGCGCCCGGAGCGCATACACGCAAGCATATTGGGCGTATGTGCAGCATATGTAAGACTGGGAGAACGACATGCAGAAGGCCGGTATGCGCCACATCCAAGACGGCACCCATCGAACAGTCCCAGTATACCCTTCCGCATACAAAAGGCCAGTCGCAAGCTCGATCTCTCGTCTCCCGCGGTCACAAACGTACATGGCACGAAGTGGATGGAGGAGTTGAAGATTATGTGTAATGCGGCGGAGTCAAAATTGGCTACGAATGGAAAGGAGTTGGCAAGGCCACAGATGAATAGGGGCTCAGATGGGGAACCCCAGCAGCTTCACGAAGGCGATCTATATCTTTGCGCCGAGTCACTAAACGCAATGGAAGGCGCTCTGGGAGCTGTATGCGAAGGAGTGGATACAGTTTTTAATGGTTCACAAGACGGCAAGGGGCCGAAGCAAGCGTTTGTTGTGATTCGACCTCCTGGCCATCACTGCGCAGCCAGTTACCCATCTGGATTCTGCTGGCTGAACAACGTACATGTTGGAATTGCTCATGCAGCGCTAACCCATGGACTCACACATGCCGCCATTATCGATTTTGATCTACACCATGGTGACGGGTCGCAGTCCATAGCATGGGCACACAACTCTCGTGCAACAACCCTTCCTAAGAATGCGGCTGCGTGGAAGAAGACCTCCATTGGCTACTTCAGCCTTCACGATATCAACTCCTATCCCTGTGAGATGGGCGATGAGGAGAAAGTCAAAAATGCCAGTATCTGCATTGATAATGCGCATGGCCAAAACATCTGGAATGTTCACCTCCAACCGTGGAAGAGCGAAGCTGAATTCTGGCAACTTTATGAGAGGAAATATATAGTTCTGTTGGAGAAGACAAGGCTGTACCTGCGTGGGCAGACAGATCGTATCCGTGAGTCCCAGTCAGCACTGAAGCCCAAGGCTGCCATATTCCTCTCTGCTGGCTTCGATGCAAGCGAGTGGGAAAGCTCTGGCATGCAACGCCACAAAGTCAATGTCCCAACAGAATTCTATGCGCGTCTTACGCGCGATGTGAAGAGGATCGCAGGAGAGGAGGGCTGTTCGGTTGACGGCCGCATTATAAGTGTACTGGAGGGAGGATACAGTAATCGTGCATTGGCGAGCGGCGTTCTCAGCCATATCAGTGGCCTTGCCGGTTCTGATCCCGATGTCGTTGAAAGACAAGTCGATCCATCTGGTCTAGGATTCGAAATTTCCCAGCGCGCTGGAGCATTGAGCCTGAAGACTGAGGATCTGGATAATCATGTTAATCCAGCGTACGACCCGTCGTGGTGGGGATTAGCTCAGCTAGAGCTGCTGGATTCGATTGTCCACCCTCCCCCACCCCCAGAGCCAAAGAAAGTCAAGAGTGGCTCTCCACCAACATACTTCTCGCCGACCCAGTCGTCCAATGCAAAGATTGCTGAATCGCCGAAGTTGAGGCGCTCGTCCTCCAATTATTTCAATGGGGGTTCGCCTAGGCCTCCTACCAGGCCTCCTTCTCCACCTCCTCCTGAGGTTGGTTGGGCTACAGCAACACACGAATTAAGCAAACTTCTCATACCAACAGACAGGCAAACGATGAGCTGCAAGCCTGATGAACTGTCAGCAGAGGCAACTCGTGTCAGGCGCGACCGCCAGTCTCTACTCACCCCACCGGCATCCACTGGCACTACTCCAGATATCACACCAAGCACTCGAATGAGCCTCAGAGAACGAAAGGCGCCCAAGCCAGCAGATAAGGCAGCCGAAGAGAAAAAGGCGGAGGCTGTAGCACGAACCAGCCGCAGAAGAACCGTTACAGGTGCTGCAGTATTGGCTACCGATAAGGCAGCTGCACGGAGCGTTCCGAAGCCTGAACCTAGCTATAAGCAAGCCACTAAGCAGTCGAGGAGGAGGCTTAGTCTCGTATCCAACAGCTCCACAGCAACGGAACCGGCAACCGCAACTGCCTTGAGTGGCGCTCGGGTGGCATCTCAACCCTCTCTTCCAGTTCGTCCAGGCAGCTCCCAAAGCTGCATTCTACTCAATATCAATGCAACTTCGAGAGGTCCATCCATTCCTCCCGTCAAGAAAACCAGGGCCCCGGCTAGTTCCCGTGACGCGTCAAAGACAGCCCATGCCGCTTCAAGGGCATCTGTTGCCACCAAGCCTAGAGCATCTACTTCCAATACTGCTGCCGAGGCCCGTCAGCGACAAACTTCTGCGCAACAGCTGACAAATGGTCCCGCTGCTTTAGCTGAAGCAGACATCATCGATAGCTTAACAGCCGGCATGAAGAAGGTCAAAATCAATCTCACGACGAAGACACAACGTGACGCCAAGGCAGCAGCAGCAGCCGCAGTGGCTAATATGCCAGCGCAAAATGCCTCAGCGCCGCCACCATCCTATACGGCTGTGACAGCATCTCAGGCAGCTCATGGGATTCCCGAGCAGCCTCAATTCGGCCAACCAGGAACACCGCCTAGACAGCCACTTTCTCGGACGGGTTCTTACATGAGCGAACTTCCACCACCGACCCCTGAACCTTTAACCCCCCACCCCTCTATCGCCAACCGCCTCCAGCAACTACAGGTAGCTACATCAGCTCCTCTTCCCACGAGCTCGCCGCCCAGATCTCTCCGACGATCTTCTTCCGTATCTACTACCCGTACCTTCACATCCACCACACCACCACACCCACAGGCCGCAGCTCCGTCGAGCAATGTCTTCATCCCCTACCAACCCGAAGGCCCGACTCCCAAAGCTGGCCCTCGCGACGAGAAACTGAAGTGGTTGGAACCCAACACAGCAACGCCCGGTATGAGTCCGGCAAAGAGGGGGGATCTTCCTGTCTTCTCAAGCATGGGGGCTATTCCGTTTGCAGCAAAGAGGCAGACCAGTGGCAGCGAGACGAAGAGGGAAGATGATATCTGGGAGGTCCCTGAGACACCGGGGAAAATGTAAGAGGTGGAATTGTGTCATTATTATTGTATTGCGCACCAATTTGTTTATGGGGCTCCTTTTATACCCCTATTGTTAATTGCAAGCCGTTCTGTGAACAGCATGGATGGCTTTATGTTTCTGTTTTTCCTGGTGGTTATCACTTTGTAATTATCATGATACCCCCCCTTTTTACTTCATTTCTTGCGCGGGAAAGTTTAGTTATCCTAAGTAGTTCTAGTCAGTCTCGTCGAATATTATTAAAAGCGTTAATTGTCCGATACTGGGTTATACTCGAGATATGTGGACCTATAAAGTATCATGGAGGGCGTAAAGCGAGTTTATTGATTGGCCACAGCTCAAAGCGGTGAGGTTGACCCCGCCGATTCTGCCGCTATTTTGTAGTCCATGGCTTCGGACCGAGCATATAAGGACAATACCTGCCAGAAAATATCGTTTCCTTTGCTCAACTCTCGACAGAACTTCCCTCGTCTCAATCCGAAACAACTCCCGCAATGGCTCTCCCAGAAGGCGCAATTATCCGCCATGCCGTCCGCGAAGGTGCCCCTCCCATCCTCACCCCAACCAACCACTCCCCACTAACCTCCCCAGATGTCTCCACCATCCTCCGCCTAATCAACGAGCTCGCTGACTACGAAAAAGCCCTCTCCTCCGTCCAAGCCACCGAAGCCACCCTCCTCGAAACCCTCACCTTCGCCCTCAGCATCACCAATTCCCCGCACCCCGACCTCCTCTCCACCACCCCCGCCCGCCCTGCCGCCACGCTCCTCGCATTCACCCCCGAGGGCGAGGTCGCTGGTATGGCGCTGTACTTCTATAATTACTCTACCTGGCGCGCGCGTCCGGGCGTGTACCTCGAGGACTTGTATGTGATGCCTATCGTGAGGGGGAAGGGGTACGGGAAGGCGCTGCTGGGGAAGGTGGCGGCGGAGGCGAGACGGGTGGGGGCGGGGAGGCTGGAGTGGTGCGTGTTGAAGTGGAATACGCCTAGTATTGAGTTTTATGAGAGTGATGCGGTGGGGGCGGTGAGGATGGATGACTGGGTTACGATGAGGGTTGAGGGGGAGGGGTTGGAGAGGTTGGGGAGGGACGAGTAGAGTGGTGTGGTGTGGTCTTGGTGGTATTGGTATTGTACATATTATACAGTCTATATATGGGTCCTGTGTCGTACAAAATCTGGGCAACTGGCGACATTCTGGTCGCCGTATCTAGTCGTTGCTTGGGACTGCTTCCCTGGAATCTATATCCTCCTGGGGTATCACCTTCCCCTTGGCTGGGTTTCTCTTTTTCGCGTTCACATGCCCTTTGTCTAGATCCTCGATCCCTTCAAACAAACTCAGATCACGCTGTGCAACTTTCTTCGGTTCGCCCCTATTCGCCGCAATCTTGGTTCCGCCCCACGTATACACCCAGTCCCTCAGCTCCTCGTCCCAACGCGCCTTTGGACACAGCTCCCAAATCTTCGCATACATCCGCTGCATATACTTGGGCGTCAGCTCATGCCGGTCGCGCTGGTCAATCTCCACCTTCCGCACTTTCGAATGTGCATGCCTAATCGGCGCCTTGAGATACTCCACGCTCAGCAACCGTCCCCCCCCTTCCTCCTCCAGTCCAACCCGCGCCCTCCTCTTCGGCGCACCCTCCCACTCCACCACCCCCGTCGCCAAACCCCGCAACTTATCCCACTCCTCTTCCGGCAGCGGCGGCAATATCCTCTCCATCGTATCCGTCAACCAGCGCTTCCTCAACCGCGCCTCCCGCTTCGCCGCCGTCGGCCTCAGGAACACATTCTCTAGTGGAATAGGCGCATACGCCATCTTCAGCTGGCTGCGGTTGCTCCTTGGGGGGTATTGCAGGATCTGGTCCGCTAGGAGCCGCTCAAAGACCGTCGGCGGCGCATCATGCGGTTTCGCGGGTACCATGGCCCCGCCCCTGGGTGCGACTTCTGTCGGGGGCACGAGGACGCGCTGCACTGCCGGGGATACGGCGGTGGGCTGCTCGGCATCATCGTGGATGCTAAATTTGGAAAGGAGGGTATTGAGGAGGGTGTGTCGTCGCTGACCCGCGCGGCCGTAGGTGTGCTGCAGGACTTTGGTGAGGGCGGGGAGGTCCCCGTTTGTTGCTCGCGTGAGGAAGGAGAGGGCTCTCCGCGCACGGTAGGCGCCGAGGGTTGGGGTCGTGACGTGGCGGAAGCGGTGCAGGATGCGTGCATGGAAGTAGTGGCGTGAGGGGCCGTCGGGGAGGTAGGAGCAGGCGCGGAGGAGGGCGCGGAGGAGGTGGGTGAGGTTGGTGGTGGTGGTGGTGGTGGTGGTGGTCATGATCGTGGTGGTGGTGGGTATGGCGTGGAAATCCACATCGTTGGCTGGGAGAAACTGGTCTTAAGCAAGTTGCTTAAGTGGCTGGTTATGAGGATATCTTGATAGGGATGGTGTTTCTGCTCTTGAGTCGCAATTGCCGTGTTGGGTTTCATATATTCCATAACTTATATTAGACCAGCCAGTGGAGGTCGAATATGGGCCAAAAAAGCTTGTTGATGCCTGAGGCACTACATTATATACCGCGTTCTTTTCGTGGGAGACACTGACGCGTAGGCTACTCGCACGCGTGAGCAGAGAACAATGGCAAAATAATATTTTTTAAATATAAACAAATGCCAAATAAAGAATTGAAAATACAATCCATTATAACTATGTAATGGCATAAATACAGCAAAATACGGCATACTAATCCGCTTCAAATGCTTTCAGTTCTCACTTCCAAATTAAAATGTTCGTAGGCGTGGAGAAAGGTACTTCGTGGTTTCTCTCCTCCCACCCCCCCAATTCCCCGCCCAATTCTCCTCCCAACCCCCCCCCATTCCCCCCCCCCAACACAAATTCCCACACGCCAGAGACACTTATACTTCCTATTTCGGTCGACGCGACGTGTTCTGCTCTTATACTACCTGTACCGCGTTGTAATATCTTGTAAATTACGAATAGCCTCATCCATTTTATGCGCCTACACTTGCGCCGACTTGAGTCCTGACAACCCTGCTAGAGTTGACGGACCTCTGCACGCACCTCGAGACCGGCTCCAATCTCACTCACCCAATTCTCCCCCAAGACCTCGTCCTCTCCCTCATGGCCTCGACGACCATCGCCGCCTTCCCACCGACGTCGTCAAATCCCTACCCTCGGCCTACGTCGTCGTCGCAGCACTCTCACCACCGCACTCTCTCCTTCGCCTCCAACCAGAGCAACCACGATACGGTAACCGGCCAAGTGTTGCCGGCCTCGTCAGCGCCAGCTCCGTCGCCATCGCCCTTCAACCAGAACTCCCAGATGTCGTTCAGCATGAGTCAAGGCTCGCAGGGCAACGGCTTGATGATGCAGCCGGACGCCTACAGGCAGTTCGCCGACCAGAATGCGCCAAGCATGACCGTTCCCACGCCGCAAATATACTCAGTTTGTTCCAATTTCCGCCATATGCGAATGACGTACTAACTTTGATAGGCCGTGTACTCAGGAGTCGATGTGTACGAAATGGAAGTCAATCGCATCGCTGTCATGCGTCGCCGCAAGGATAGCTGGCTCAATGCGACCCAGATCCTAAAAGTCGCCGGCATTGAGAAGGGCAAGAGGACCAAGGTCCTGGAGAAGGAAATTCTCATTGGTGAGCATGAGAAAGTCCAGGGAGGTTATGGAAAATATCAGGGCACTTGGATCAAGTTTGAAAAGGGATTGGAGTTCTGCAGGCAATATGGCGTGGAGGAAATTCTGCGGCCGCTCCTCACTTATGATATGGGTCAAGATGGTGGGATTGCTGGGCATGGAGGTGTGGATACACCAACAAAGGAGCAAGCAATGGCTGCAAACCGGAAGAGACTATATAATGCTGGGAACGAAGCTCGTTTGAGCGGGCAATCCGGGACCTTCTTCAAGAATATCTCCTCAACAGCCTCCCACGCCGTCGCAGCGATCAGCAAAGCCAGGTTCGACTCGCCAGCACCCCGCATACGCAATGGGAACCGCCCTCCAGGTTTCAGCCGTCAGTCATCACAGCAGCAGCTTGACGAAAACGCTTTCCCGGGGTCTCAGCAGAGCATGCAAAGCTTTGCGTCTGAGTCTAGCTACAACATGAACGGCGACTCGGCGTATGCAACTCAGAGTGGCCCACACTTCTCACATATGGGTAGCCAAAACGAGTTTCAAGAACCTCCGAGGAAGCGGGTACGCCCATCACCCAGTGTCAGCCTGTCTCATCAGACCGACGGGTTCTATGATATGCGAGAGCCTTCGCCCACTGAGCCGAACGACTCATTTGTGTACCACCAACATGCTCAAAACACTCTACAAGACGATGTCGTCCCATTGCCTTTACCACCACTTCCATTTTCATCAAGCCAAACCGCTGAGTCGAAACGTGCACTTCTAATGTCTCTGTTTATGGATCAGACCAGGAATGAATTTAGCCGCCACGAAGCTTTCGTCAGTCTCTCAGGGGAAGATCTTGACATGCCTATTGATAATACCGCGCATACTGCTCTTCATTGGGCTGCCACACTTGCGCGGCTTCCGTTATTAAGAGCGCTTATTAACAGCGGGGCGAGCATATACCGAGTTAATAACGCTGGCGAGACCGCTTTGATGCGCGCCTGTGCTGTTACGAATAACCTAGACTTCAGTGCCTTCCCGGATCTCCTCGAGCTATTGGGCCCCACTATCGAGATGAAGGATGGCCGTGGGCGAACAGTTCTCCATCATATTGCCGTCACATCCGCTGTGAAGGGCCGTAGCCAGGCTAGCAAATACTATCTCGAGTCTCTACTGGAATTCGTCGTCCGACAGGGCAGTGCACCGAGTAGTCAGCAGATGTTCCTCGGCCAAGCGCCGGCGGTTAAATCTATGGGCATCGGCCGCTTCATGTCAGAGATTGTCAATGCTCAGGACAAGTCGGGAGATACAGCCCTGAATATTGCCGCCAGAGTGGGGAACAGGAGCATCATCTCGCAACTGCTGGAAGTTGGAGCCGACGCGGGTATCCCCAACCGCGCAGGTCTTCGCCCTGTTGACTTTGGCATTGGCGACCCGACAGAGGTAGGCGAGAGGCCTAGCACCACTGTAGATAAATCTCTCAACAAGGCAAATCGCGAGAACAGCGGAGATGTCATTTCTTGTAAGTCCCCATATACCCCTTTTTACCTTCTAATAGTAAGCACATAACTAACTCCCACAGCAATAACCACCCTCCTCTCCCAAACCGAAGCCGAGTTCGCCCAAGAGATGACCGCCAAACAATCAGCCATCGACTCCATCCATACCCAGCTCCGCTCCTCCTCCGCCCACCTCGGCGAAGAGCGCCGCCGCCTCGAGCGCCTCCAGCACCTCGCCAAGGCGCGCGACGAGCGTAAATGCAAGATCACGAATCTACGCCGCGCAGGCGACGAGGAGTTCTTCCGCCTGCAGCAGATCAGGGCACAGCAGGCGCCGTTGGCAGGTCAGAGCGAGGACATGTACCTCGGCGAGGCCGACGTGGCATTTGCCTGTCTACCCCAGAACGTCGGGCCGGATGAGGTGCTGAGGAATCCGGCTCTTGTGGCGACGGTGCCGGGACATGGAACGCTGAGGGCGAGGGTCGCGGCGTATCGTGCTAATAATGAGAGGCTTGAGAGAGCGGTGGGGGAACTGAGGAGTAAATCCCGCGAGCTGGAGGCGAAGTACCGCAAGACTATTAGTCTGTGTTCGAGAGTGCCAGAGGAGAGGATCGATGATGTGCTTGAAGGGCTGTGGAGGGCTGTAGATAGCGAAGGCGGGGATGTGGAGTTGGGCCGTGTGAGGGAGTTTCTGACCAGGGTTGAAGGGGTTGAGTAAGAGGAGGATTATGATGGGATGGGACTGTGAGAGGTTGTACATATAATGTGCTGGTGACGACTGTGGGTTGGCTTTTTGCATATTGCGCGTGTCTGTTGGGTGGCGTCCTGCTCGTGTTTTGGATATTGTTACTTGCGTCGGTGTCGGGTATGGCTTGAATCAGGGGTTTGGAAAATACGAATTGAATCACCGTCTTGATATATCACTTACTGTTTTCACGTTGAAATGATGGCGCAGCTTACCGAGGCCTTTGACGCGATGAAATAACATCTCTACATCGATATGCCTCCTCTTTTTATAATAAATCAAATTCCCAGGCTCAAATTGTCGCGTATCTTAGGACCTATAGGCAGGCGGTGGCTATCCAGAAGGGCACCTCTGGGGGCGAGCACGGTGCAAATGTCAACTTTACCTGCGTGTCGGATTTGAAGGCTTACAGTCGACAGCATCGCTGCCAAACTCCAAGTCTTGTCCGAGGCCGCTCGCATAGCCTCCTCAAACACCAACGGCGCTGCGGTTCTCCAGAAACTACCCGCAGGAGACGCAGCCGCAGTATCCAGCTCATCCTCTCCAACCCGTGGGAGCTCGTATCTCTCAACCTCCAGCCCACCACCTGGGACCATCAGGACAGATCTCGGGCAGAAGGAATTTTGGGGGTCCGTGTTTCGAGCTGACGATTGACAAATGAGGGAGGATATTGGGTTAAATAATGTAAAACAGAATAAGTTAGAATAAATAAATCGGAATCATCTCTCAGTATCATTTCTCACTTCTCGGTGATTGACCCCCAAGATCGTGCCAGCCGCGAGCAATCTCATTGGCCAAAACGCGGCGGCTGTGGACTGTGGCCTTATCGCCGCCCTTCCCTAAACACTCCCATCACATTTATATCCCCCAAGAGCCACTCCAACCCTCATCACCCCCTCCTCCCATCCATCACCTCAATCGCACCCAAACCCCCCAAAACCCCAGCCAACAGCCAGCCCTCTCGCGATCAATCGCCACCCACCCTTAACCATGGCAATCTACAGTTCTGTCCCCCCCCCGAACCAACAAGCCTCCGTCGACATCGAAACCTGGACCCTGCACGCCCTCCAACACCTCGACATCACACCCCTCCAGATCCCGCTCCACGACGACCCCGCCGACATCACCACCACTTCCGCTCCTGCCCCGAAACCTCGGGCCACAACAACCACAGCATCGAAACCCAAGCCCGCGCCCTCCAAACGCCGGGAACTCGCCGAGAAAGGGAAGGAGGGAAGTCGTCGCCGTAAACGCTGGGAAAACGACCGCCTCATCGGCGTCCCTGGTGTTGTCGCCCCTTCATCCCGCGATTGGGAAGTCCATAGCTCCAGCCCCGTGCGTCGAGTGCCGTACTACCTCGCCCCCCTCTGGGAAGGGGTTTCCGAATCGCGCCGCTCCGAGAACGTCGATAAAGAAGAGGAGAGGGGCCGCGTGCCGAGCGAACTCCGCGAGCGCATCCGTCGCGGCAAAGTCGAGGGCGAAATGCTGCGCCACCTAGAGTGCGAAGTCCGCCGCTTCGTAGTAGAATGGGAAGTTGGAGCCCGCCCCCCCTCCTCCTCGCGCGCCGCAGGCGCAGAGAGCAGCGACGAGGAAGTCGTATTCGTCGGCCGTGACCTGTCCGCGCGCACGATGAGGGAGAGGGAGGAGGAGCGCAGGGCAAAGATCGAGAGGGAGAGAGAGAGGGAGAGGTGTGTGTTTGAGGCTAGGGTGGGCGACAGGGGGGGGGCGCTGGGGAGGTATTTGGTGCATGCGTTGGCGGGATATTATGGATTGAGGAGCTGGAGTGTTACGGTGGGGGGGGGAGGAGGGCGGTGGTGGGGATTAGGGGGGTGGGCGGGGAGATGCCGGGGCCGTTGTATGCGATGGTTTAGAGTGTTGACCGGTGGTGAAGAGTGTATAGATGATGAGATTGTTAGGCTTTGAATCGGCTTGTTGTGATGGTTGGAAGTGATAACTGGCCACGGAAGACATTTGAAGTTAGGAGAGATTCTAGGATTTCGCACTCAATGCAATCGCTATTCTAAACCCGACTTCAACTCCAACCAAGTACGCCATGCCCAAATTCCAACCTCAACTCGTATAACTAAATCCATCAACTACACGCATCAACACCCATATCCCGTACTCACAGCTCAGCAAACGCAAGCTCGTACACCAGTCCCAGAGTCAACCTCGCGTGCTGCAGCATGTGATCAAAAGAGAGATACTCAACCTTGTCACCCTGGGTATGAATCTTATCATCCGAGTACTTAAAGTCCGACTCAATCACAAACGCCGACGCATACCCCGCCTTGCTCGCCGACGCATGATCACTGCAAGCATACCCGCACTTGGTCTCCACATATGGGATATCGCAGTACTCCGTCACAATCGTCTTGATGAACTCCGTCAACGCCGGGTCGACGAAATCAGTAATCACGCCCACGCTCTCCAGCTCTCCAGCATCAAGAGACTTCTGCACGTAACCAGTCATATCCTGCTGCAACATAGCCCGCACATCACGACCCTCCTTCTCATACGAGCTGAAGATGGCCTGGGAGCCGAGCAGGCCGCCCTCCTCAGCAGAGTACCAGTGGAACTCGATGGTGTTCGTTGCGTTCCCCACTACGACCGACTCATCAGTCAACAGCACCCGCAGCGCCTCAAGGATAGTAACCGTTCCCGATCCATCATCGTCTGCACCCGGCGCTGGCAGGAATGCAGGGAGGAACAAGTTAATACTATCCTGGTGCGCGCCAATAACGACAGTCTTATCGCTCCGCCCCGGAATCGTAGCGATAACGCTGTTCTGCCCCCACGGGTGCGGGAAGTGCTTCACATGCGCACCGTGCTTATCAGCCCCCGCAGCACCAACCATCTCGGTCACAGTCTCGAGGAGCCAGGCGGAGGACTGGGCACCGTAGCTGGACTTGTAGTAACGGGTGTAGAAGGAGGTGAATTTCTCGAGGTGCGCGCGCATGTTGGACTTGGAGAGGGTCTTGAGGAGGGGCTCGAGCGCGGTCTGGTGCACGGGTGCTGCGGGGAAGACACGCTTCTTGCTGGTGTGGATGTTGAGGGAGCCGAGGGATTGGGTGTCGGTGATGTCCATGAAGTTGATGTTTTGCTGGGAGCACAGTTAGCGGGTGCGTGGGATGGCCGGATGGCGGACTTACTCGTTTCAGATCCCATTTGTCCTCTTCTGTCACCAGCCTGGTCTCGCCGGGGGAGAGCTCGATGAGATACTTCGTTGTGTCCTCGCCACTGTCGCTGGTGAGCACGACTTGGTCGGTCTCGTGCTTCTCGACAAAGCGGGCGTTGATGGCCGAGGCTGATAAGGCCAGCACGGAGAGAGTAGTGAGTTTCATGACGGGCGGACTATGGGTGTTTGTGAAAGGATACTCTGAGGACAGCGATATCGACGGTTGATGGAGAGGATGAGTCGTGGAAGAGGCTGTAGGCGCTGTCCTGCACTGTACCTGGCGCGGGATGACTAGTAGCATGTGGAGCAGTGTGGCTAGGGACAGTGGGGTCAGCCTCCGAAAGGCGGGGAGTGGCTGAAATACGCTAGTCTACTTTAGCTGCTCGCGGGATTATACATAGCAAGGATATCCTGTCCAGCACGGCCGTGAGACCTTGAGGGTGTCTGGGATGTCTGGGATGTCTGGTGACTGTCTATAGTGGCCATAGTTTGCATGGGTTTGCAGGACCAGAGTCGGCGCTTCGCATACTTTTGGTGCTACCCCGCAGTTCAGACCTGGGGATGCAACCCTAGACAGCTTCATGGGCAGCACGCTTCCCAACGTCTGGCGCGCGGATTGGCCCATTGCTCCCATACCTTTGGCGCCCCCTTGTTTCCTTGTTTCCATGTTTCCTTGTTTGGGTGTTTCATGGGAGGCGGCCGCCACTGATGGACCACCAAGGTAATATGGTACTATATTGGATATCCAGAGCTTCTACATTGCAAGTAGAAGATACTTCGAGTCGAGATATGTTGGAGTCGAGATATGTTGGAGTCGAGATATATGTATTGGTGCATGCAGCTGTGTATGAGTACGGGACTGTACAAAGTACAAAGTCCAACAGACTCTGGCTTCCCTCATCGCCAACAGCATCCATATCATTGGTGGATATCTGCTGAGTCATCCAAAACACTTAGTAATTCCTCGAGCCAATCATACCGTCGAATTACCCCCAATGTATAAGTTACAATTCGATACGTCATCGATTTCAGCTACGTAGCTGTCTACGACGATAAATACCCTACTGGCTCTACTCTGCTCTGCCCTCCTTTGCTCCTTCCTTTGACCTGTGCCCCTTCTTACAACACACTAATGTTAACATAATACTAACACCGACGACCCTGGAAGAAGATCCTGGAAGACCCTGATTCCACGCTGTCACCACCGCCACCACCGCCAGCCTAGTCGAAACCAAGGACAAGGAAGGGACAAGCAAGCACAAGCACCTTTTCTCCTTCCTCTCTACTTGACTCCTCCTCTTCAACTTCCTCACAATTCTACAGACACAGGTATCCATACAGAAGGTAAGCGTGCAATCCTATTCTACGCCCTCTACGCCCTCGCTCTTCCTACGACGATTCGAGGCTAACTCGGAGCAACGTTGCAGACAGGTTCGGGCTCGGAAAATTCACTCAGTTCCTCACAGCCGCTCTCCCCCACTCTCCAACACACCGACGCCCCCAATACTCTTGACACTGTTCTCGAGGCGCCGTGCAGCATATCAAGATGGATAGACTCTACCAAAGTAAGCCGCAAACTCCGTACACTCGCAGCTCTGTCTGTGTAGGAAACATGCTGACCCCCGCCCAGTCAACCCCTTCGCCAAGCGCGAGACCCATGAGGCCCAGACGATTTTCTGGTATAAGATCTTTACCACCTTGTCATGGCTCCTCGCCGTCGTCTCCAGCGTCTACTACACCTTCCACGCGCCGCACGATGATGTTACCAAGCAGCGAACGATCTGGGGCCAGAACAGACACCACGCCACCGCCTTTGCCCTCAACTCGTCCATTGCATCCATCTACTGGTAGGCTCGTCAGATATCTCTGCTTGAAGTATCATATCGCTAACGAATTCCAGGATCGTGCTCTTCGTCCTTCAAGGTGGTTACATCTGGCACCTGTTCTCCCCCAACGCCGACCATGTCCAGGCCGCAGCCGCAGTGGGCAGCCACTTCATTTTCAACAACCTCCTCCACTTCGCCTTCGTCATGCTCTTCGTTCGATCCCACTTCGTCTGGGCTGAGCTGATCCTCATCATCAACTTCTTCAACCTATCGTCGCTCTACTTCCGCCACCCTACCTCGCCTCGCTTTGTCCACCTCCCAGCCGTCTCAGGACCCCTGGCTTGGGCATTCGTTGCTTTGTACTGGAACGGAGCTATTGCTTTCAACGCGGAGGGTCTGATCGGACGCATCCTTGCCAACGTCGCTATCTGGGGTATCCTTGTCTACGGACTCTTCTTCCTCGTCGCCTTCAAGGTTAGTATCCCGAGCAGCACCCTCCAAAATAGCTATACTAATACCATCACAGGACTACACCATGGGCTTCTCCCTCAGTGTCCTCAGCGCCTCCCTCGGTGTCGGCCAATTCCTCCGCCAAGCCATCGCCTTCCAGTGGATCTTCGCCTTCACCATCATGGCCACCCTCTTCGTCGCCACCTTCGTCGTCACCTTCCCCAAGATCTTCGGCGGCCGCTTCACCAGAGGCGAGGCTGTCGTTGCCGAGGACCAGGAGAGAGCTCCTCTCTTGGAGGACAACTAAACGACTCTGTCTGGAGGACGGATAATCCCCGTGTGTCAATGCCACAAGGCTGCGGAGAGGATTTATGGATTTGTGGTCTATATGGTCAGTTACGAGTGCTACGCTTTTGATGTTTTATTGTTGGGATTAGATCACATACGCGCTCATTTTTTGGATGAACTTAATATTCCGCTCTTGCGATGGATGGATGGATGGATGACTGCTCGTTCTTAGTTTCCGTTGGATTTTAGTTTGGAATTTGTCTAGGAGTTTTTTAAGGACGTCGTAAGGATTTATTCGAGCAGATTGACCCAGAATACAAATTGAGCAATATGGAACTTACGTATCTTTAATCTCTGTTCTAGCTTAATTTAAATAAATATAAATATGTTTTGTCTCGTTTTATTGAAATCGTGTTTGCTCGTTACGTGGTTTGGCAATGTAGATGGAGTTGCACTAGGCCTAGAAGAAGCATTATTGTTGATTTTGTGTCCTACCTAGGTGGTGGGGAGGAGAGTTATGTTGCCACCGGGAGCTTCGTAACAGAGTTGAACCGTCATTCCATCGCTCTCCTCTTTTTTGAGTGATTCGGGGTTGGGGGTCTCTCATCGTTATGGGTAAAGTAAGAGGCCCTGTCGTCCCATTGTCCATTAGTCGGAGTTTAAGTAGGGGCGTGAGGGTCTGAGGTAGAGGTAATTAGGGGTATATCGTCGTCGTTAGGTTGTGTAGGTAAGAGGTGTTAGAGACATCGTGGGCCTTTGAGGATACGGATGTCTCGTAGGTTCTCATTCGGTCTGAGCTATGTTCTTGTGCTCTTGTTTGGCTTCGTGGTATGCTTGCTGCTCTGTATCGAAGCTCATTCTTGGTTCATAGCCCTTGTTCGCAAAAAACGCACTTGTCTTGGTTGCATCTGATGGCAAACTGTTGGCAGCAAACTCCGCCATGCACAAGTATGAAACCCAATTGTCTTGAAGATAGTTCACATGAGCTCGCAAGTAGCGTTCGAGCTCTGCATTGAATCGCTCAGTCTGTCCATCTGTTTCTGGGTGGAAGGCAGTTGAAAGTTTGGCCGAAATTTTCCAAATTTTGCAGAGCAAACTCCAGACTTCTGCAATGAACTGAGGACCTCTGTCTGATATTATCGAGTTTGGTAGACCATGGTGCTTCCATACATGTCGAAGTAAGAGCTGTGCTGTAGCTTCTGCAGTAGTCCCTTCTTGCCCAGCGAAACACGGAATGAAATGTCTTTCTTTCGTCAACCTGCATGCAACAACCAAGATAGCATTGTTCCCTTCACAGAGTGGTAATCCTGTCACGAAATCCATTGATATATCCATCCATGGTCGACTGTCAATAGGGATTGGTTGTAGAAGTCCATTGTAGGAATCTCGAGATGGTTTTGATCTTCGACAACTATGGCAGTTTTTGATATATCGAATTATTGTTTTGTCCATGTTTGGCCAGTAATAGTGCTGTTTCATGACTCGCAGCATCTTTCCAGCTCCTGGATGTCCCATAGAAGGTTGTTCATGAACTTCTCTCAACAAGTCCACCTGAATGGTTTCTGGCACCCAAACTCGATTTTGATATTCTAGCATGCCGTTTTTGAGTTCGCAATAAGCCAATGCAACCTCTTTGCTTGTTCGATTACCATTCTCAAGCTTCTGTAGTGTAGCCTTGCAGAATTTGTCTTCCAGTTGAGACTTTTGGATTTTCTCAAGAATTGTCATTTCTCTGATATGAGTTTCCACTGGAGCTAGCTGAGCTGTTTGGCCTTGTTCTTTGAGTTTCTGAATGTCTGGATGTAGCCTCGAAGGTGGTAGCAACACCTGAAGCTGTTGCTTTTGTTGATCATCCTCATCATTGCCTTCTGGTCTGTCACCAGGCCTTCGAGTCAAAGCATCTGCTTTTCCATTTTGCTTCCCAGGCCTATAGATGATCTGGAAGTTGTATCGAGAGAGGAATTCAGCCCATCGAGCTTGTCTTCTTGTCAGCTTCTTGGTGGACATGAAGTATTCCAAGCTTTTGTGATCAGACAAGACTTGGACTGGAAAATCTGTCCCTTCAAGTTCTGGTCTCCATGCTTCGAAACATGTGATGATTGCAAGCAATTCCTTGTCATATATCTCGTAATTGCATTCTGCAGGTGCTAGCTTTTTCGAGAAGTATGCAACTGGATGTAGAACCCCTTGATCATCTTTTTGTGACAAGACTCCTGATGAGATGAAGTCTGAGGAATCTGCTTCGACATAGGCTGTCTTGTTTCTATCGAAATGCCTCAAGACAGGAGCTTCTGTGACTGTTTGTTTCAACAGCTCGAATGCAGTTTGGCATGCATGAGTCCATTCGAATATCTGATCCTTTCTGGTAAGGTTCACCAATGGCCTCATGATGCTGGAGTAATTTCGGATGAACCTTCGATAGAAATTGCAGAATCCAATGAAAGCTTGCATATCCCTGAGCGATTTTGGAGTTCGCCATTCCAATATAGTAGAAACCTTTGCAGGGTCCATGCGAATGCCATTGACTCCCACGATGAGTCCTAGGAATTTGGTTTCTTGGACGAAAAACTCACATTTTGAGATATCTGCTTGCAGTCCAGCTTCTCGAAGCTTCTGTAGGACTTTCCTTATGTGCTCTGTATGCTCCGCTCGAGTAGCACTGTAGATAAGAATGTCATCCATGTATGCAGTGACGAATTGGTTGAGGTAATCCATGAGGGTTTCATTCATGTACCTCTGGAATGTTGCTCTGTGATTTGTTGCTCGTTGCTCTGGATCAGTTCCTGTAACTGGAGAATGGCATCATCCTTTTCAGCCAGTATCGAATTTGAGTCCTCTGCTAGGGCCAAATAGTCCCGAAGAATGTTCTTGTGCAAAGTCCATGCCATTTTCTGGTTGGCGACAGATAGTTTCTGGAATTCGTCAAAGGTTTCAACATTCCATTCAGCCTTTTCATGTCGATTTGCAAGTATAGATTCATGTCTCTCTTGAGCTGTTTTGCCCAGAGTGTGAAGGAAGGTTTTGGATTTGAAATTAGGATCATGAAGTTCATTGGTTTGGTTTGCAGAGCTTGGAATTGATGCTCCTTCTGCCAGGGATTCCTGGTCTTGTTCTGGATCATTTCGAGCTGCCATTGCAGCTTTTTCTTCAGCTGTATAAGCCATAGCGAGTTGCTATTTCAATTTCGGTTTATATCGTCAAGTCAGACACATATTGCCAAAGGCCCTATTGTGCAGTTGTTGGCCGTAGGAGCCACTCGAGAGGAGCGCACTTCCCTCACAGTTATATCCTTGTCGAGGGAGCGTTGTAAAAGGTCTGACTTGCGAAGGTGGTGTGTGTGTGTTGAGCTGACTGTTGAAAGCCAACTTTGAGGGGTTGCCTGGAGATCGTCCTGGAATCGACTTCAGGATAAGGTTTCTGGTTCTGGGGTTTTCAAAGAGTGGATTTCGATTTCGATTTCAGAAGAGGGTTCAGCTCAAAGAGCAGGAAAAGAGGTATAAGAGAGATTGAGTTTTATGTCACGGTTCACTCGAGCAGTGGCTCGATCTATATACAGCTATTGTGGAGTGAATTCTCTTTAGCGAGACCAGTTCTGAGAATTCACTCCACAACTGAAAACTTCGCTCCAACCCCGGAAAGCTCCCCACACCCCTGAACCCCCACTCGAGCTGCAAGGCGCACTTGATATCGTAACACTAAGCACTCGTTCTGATAATATTCGGTGAAACATCATGTATTTATAGGATTAGCTGATTTAGTCTTCGTTCTAGAGGTATACTAGTTTCTCAAAGGAGTGTAAGAGGTACGCTTTCTAGAGGCACTAGATGGCAGTTTATCTAATGGATTGCCATTGGCGTTAGGCTATGTGATCATAGGAGGGGCGAAATGCCATAAGGGCCTTAAGTTCGTTTATAGAGTGTAGGGTGATGGCTGGTTGGTCTAAGACCTGTTGCTATATTGTTATAACATGTGCCTAAATCGTTTAGGCTATAGAGCACCATATCTAGATGTGGTCTGTGGTAAAGTCGTAGTTATAGATAGGGCATATGGTAAGTGGTATTAGTAGCTAGTTAAAAGTGATTTCCCTCTCTGTACTTTATTATAGAGGAGGTGCCATAATAGGTCACTAGCTTTGTTACAGCTGTGGTCATTACAGACTGATTTCCAAAGTGATGAGGCAGAATATGATATTCCTGTTTAGTGTAACGCTGACTTCTAAACGATAGAAGACACAGAGGTTTCTTGCGTAAGGTTGACTTGACAGAGGAGGCAGGGGATTAGACACAAAGGCTTTTTCAAGTAACATGTTACAGTATTGTAAAGAATACTATATTGAGTTGAGCACGAAGCTCCTATCTAAGGAAATACTATCTACTTATATAGTGGCGTCGTGCCTCATGGGTAATCTGGATAGTTGGCGGATAGCTAGATATTCAGGATAGTTCGTGGATAGCTCAACTATCCAATATCCACTAGTTTCTGCAACTATCCATTAGCCCTGTCACATGGCAGCCTACCCCGCTTGACCCCTGTGACTCACATGTCACGTTACTAGGCCCTGGCCCTGTAACCATGATGTCATGTTACTGTAGCCGTAACACTAGGTCCTCCTCCAAAAGGCCTAGTCCCTTAGGTCTTGCTGATTAAGGAATCACTTACTTAAGTAGGGTGATGCCCACTTAATTGCCGAGCAGGTTGCGCTGCTTACCATGTCTTCTAGTAGACACATAAAAATCAAAGAACGTCATCTTCTTGCAGACCGTATTGAAAAGAATGGCAACCTAATGTCGCCATGTTCCAGCTGTCTTCACAACAATCGATTCTGTATTGTTGTTGCTGGTAGTCATCGTTGTAGTGAATGTACTCATCGCAATTCCAAATGCAACGCTTGCGCCCCTTCTCCAACTGATTGGGAGAAGCTTCGAAAAGAAGAAGAGCGTCTTGAGGTAGAAGAGGAAGCGGCGGCATCTCAGGAGCGAGAGGCTCACCTCTGCGCTCAAGAAGCATATGCCCGTCGCATGCGTCTTCACAAACAGCAGAAGGCTCTCAAAACCCGTGGTGTTGAGATGCTGCGTCGTGGTCTGAAATCTTTGGACGAATTGGATGAAGCAGAGGAGAAGGAGTGTAGGGAGGCAGAGGTCAAAGGGACTCTCTTGCACAGCCCTTCTACTGCCGTTTCCGAGGGTGCTGCCCCTGGCCAGGACCTTTTCGTGGCCCTGTCTCCTGGCTTCTTTGATCGTTGGGTGTCGACGGCGAAACACCTCCAGTAGCTCTGGACACCTAAGGTTTCTGACCGTTTCCCATGAATTGTCCGTAGGTTCATAACCCTTCCATTTTATCAAAAACTCTTCTTTGCGTCCTACTAACCTTCTGTCTAGGATCGCTTCGACTTCGTATTCAACA